TGAATATTATATATCTTATTATCTTGAGCTTTCCATCAACAATGTAACTAAAATATGCCAGGGTATGAATGTGTGAACAGTTCTGCAGTCACTGAGTGTCTCTGCAAGATCACCCTGAAGAGCGCCCAGTGCATGTCAGCTGCCAGAGCAGAGTTTATGACTGCTCACACCAACAACCTGCAAAGTGGCAATTGGTGCTGCTCCTCTTGTAACCATGGCACCCCAAGATGTGGCTCTAGAGATGGGTTTTGTTGGCCTCATTTTTCACAGTCTTGTGAAAGAAGTCCTCAAATGACACGCAAGGTGCAGGAGGATCGCTGCTGCTCAAGCTGCCCTCAGAAAGATGTGGTGAATTTGCACGTGCATCAGAGCCTTCAAAACCTCCCTCGGTGTCCGTAGATACGTCTAAAGGCTTTGAATATTTTACCTTCATCCTCTCAAGCCAGAAATGGAAATAATAAAAAAGTATAAATTCTGTCTTTTCTGCGCACAGATACACCGCAAGCCTCTCTGTCTTTCTCTCTTCTTTCACCTTTAACCCCCCAATACATCTTAAAGCTCTGCCAAGATATCTAGGTTACTGAATCTGAGATAAACTGCCCGATATTGTTCCCTGTGGACTTTGGGCCCATTAGCAGGACAAATGATCAGCAATTAATGTGCTCAGAAGTTTTGATTTGGGGAGGGGGGAGTGGAGGGGACAGGGGGATGAGGGTAAGAAAGAAAATGTAGAAGGTAATTTTAAGGTTTGGGGTTTTTTTTCTCTAAGGGCTTGTTTGTCTGTGCAGGTAGAGTGTATTTAGCATAGCTGGAACTGACCTTTTGTTCAAGCTCTTCTTTATACTTGGATAAACTGACAAATAGCTCCGTGATCCTTGGATGAAACATGCATTTCTATCCAGTAAAAATATACAATTTCTACAATCACACAGGTGTACCTGTGCTTATAAATATAATTCCCATTTGAAATAAGAAAACAGACCTGCAAAGGCTTTCAAACATGACCTCAGTAACTAAGTACACAGTAAAACTCAGCTGTTGCCTTTGTGTTGTAAGTTCTAATACTTAGCCTTTAACTAACCTGTATTATTTAAATTCTGTTTATAACGTTTTATTCATATCACAATTATTTACAAATTGATAAGTATTAAGAGTATTTTCCCTTTGTGTATCTTTATGTCTAACTTATTCTCTGGCAGTGTTCTACTTTGACTGAATCCTGTGTTTCTTTTTTACATCCAATCAATAGTTTATGTAATTTTGGCACCTTTTGTTCTTACATCTCTAAAAAATTCTACCATTAACTCAATTCCCAGATGATTAATTCACTACTCCTAATATTTCATTCTAAACAGTAATAAATCAACAAAATAAATCCTATAATGATCTACCTCTCCCATGCTAAACTACTACCTACAAGGTCTTTTCTAGCAGGGCCATTTGCTTTCAGTGTAATCTTGAATGGCCCAGTGAAATTGAGAGAGGCTGACCTAAATTTCCAGTGGTTAGTTCATGTCTTTGAATCAACCAGAGCAAAAAATTAGAACCTTTAAAATACCAGGCCACACAGGTGTCCTGGCTACTGGGCTAATTAGCTATCCTGGGATCATTTCTGTCCCCCTGTGGATTTTTTTTTTCTAGCCCTTACTAGTGGATTTTTGATTAAAACACGGCTATTTCTCATGAAAAACCTTAGTCAGACAACACAGCATTTTCAAGCAGAAAAGTGTTCCCTTGAAAAACTCCTGTTCAGCTGTGGTTGCCATGGATAAGGATGTAAATCTTCCACATGCATAAAATCATATAGATTATCCAGCTCTCCTTTTACTTTGCCTAGCATGTTTTTCACATCTAAATGGGCATCATAAAAAGACTTAGATCCAGCAATTAAGGGCATGCTAAACCTCAGTGTGTTGGGCTGGATTTTCACTGGGCTGAATTTTTCAGTTCTGTAATTCCCAATGTCATTCTTTCATGAAGGCTCACACTCACCTTCAGACACACTAGCAAGGGAGAACTGATATTCTACCCTACCATTCAATATCTTTCGAATCCCTTACCAAAAAGATTTAAATATGTCCTTAGAGAAATCATTTGCTGATAACATTTTTTCAAAACTATCAAGTCCTACAGTTCTGTTTGAGCCCCACAGCATCCCTGGCTTCAGGAATGGAGTAATTTCTCTAGTCTTTCTAGAAATCTTCACAGATGACTTGCACACTTTAGGATTTCTTTTTCCACAGTTCAGAAACTTATTGAAAGCATGATAAGAAAAACCACAATCAAAACAACCTCACAAGGTTGGTAGACCTAAACATGGATGCTTAATTTATTATATGAGATATTGAAAACCTTGGCAATTGTCTGATAATTGTCTTGATAAAATGACTGTGAAGCAGCAAGGAAGATGCATGTGACACGTTATTTACACTGTGATACTGTTTTTCATCTAATTTGCACACAGACTCAAGCCTTGCAGTTTTTACACTTCATTAACAAAATTCATTATACCTAATACACATTACTTCAATGTGTCTGCTCCTGGGGCTTTAAGACAGATCTGTGTATCTTTGTTAGGCGAAGCCTACTACAAAACTGTAAAATACAGCCAGGCAGGGAATGCCTTGCACTTCCCAGTCCTGAGAATTGCTACTTGAGTTATCTCCAAATGCCTAATTCACCTACTGATTGACTCTTTACTCTTTCCTTGACACCTGACTCCTGTTTTTACTGGATTTGGATATTCAAGGATTTCTTCCTGTCCTCGATGAATGCCCTTTCTTGTCCTGATTTTTCACATTGCTTCAAATGCTTTTGAACAAATGTCGTTATTTTGCTAATCCTCTGCACGGAGTGGCTATGAGAATTTTAATTTCCTTTTAAAATCTGCATAGTATTTGATCATAAATTCACAGGAACTATGCAAATCACTCCTTGCAGAGCTGCACCAATTCTCAGTAATATCACTGCTATTTTGTATTTTGACGTACAACTTGTTCTCTCGCTGTGCCTGCCATTTGCTGCTTTCTTACCTTCAGTTGTTTTGCAGTTCTCTGCTAATTCTGATGACCTTTTTCCTTGTTCCCACTACTAGCTTTTAAAGCCAGATGGTTTGCATAACCCATGAGAATATACTAATTTATGTTTCAGCACTTTCATTTCTCATCTTGTCCTTTCCACAGAATGCTTTTCCCTCCTTTTTTGTTTCTCCCCTTTTAGAGCTCAGATTTCTCTCAGAGTTGTCAAAATTGATTTTTCTGAGGTAAAGGGACCTTTTGGCTTTGTAAAACCACTCTCCTGCAAGACATAAACAGTCATGTAACAGACCTCAAGAGCAGAAATGTTCAAAAAGACCATCCATACAATTTTTTGAAATTTCAGTTTTCTCAACCAAGTATTACCCTTTTTTGCATCTGAGTCACCAACCTTAACCACAAAGGAAAGGAGGTGACTTTGCACCAGTTCTAGAAGCAATGATTTTTTTCCCAGCACAGAGGTTCATGGTTTTCCCACAGAGCAATACTGAGAGGACAAGTGTTGTCTGCAGCTGTCTGTAAGTGCCCCTTGCTCTCCCCGTGAGCTCCCACCCAGCCCCAAGTCTTGGAAGTGAGCAAGGGGGAAGGTCTCTGCTCTTCCAGGGTTAGTCTGTTCTGTGGACATTTGTTATTTGCTTTTCTGCTCTATGGCAAAGCCACTTCATGTACTAAAATTGTTACTCTTTAAATATCTCGAGTGTGTCTCACTCGAGTGTGTCTGGTTAAAGGTAGAGATGAAGCAGGTCAGGTATAGTTAGAGCTGTACACCTGAAGGTCGTCGGAATCTGAAACTTCAGGGAGGAATAAAGCAGATGTTTAGGTGACAGAGGGGGCTGGGACCAACATCATATGGTGTGGCATGGAGCTGGCTGTCCTGGCCAAAAACACATCCCCCTGTATGGAGACATGGCACCTGTGCTGTGTCACCTTGGTGGCTATGACTGCTGCCTTAAAGGCTGAGTATTGCTACAGTGAATTTGTGAGATAAGGAGAGCCTGTGAACCAGGAGGGACTCCATGAGCTTGAGACTCCTGATCCCTCCTGGCAGCCTGGACTGATGCTCCCACTTGCACAGAGTGATTTGGGGACAGGAGGGGGAGGATGAACATGTCACACATGTGGATGTCTCCCAGGCAAACTCACAGTTTTAAACTGTTTACCTGAAGGCTCTTTAAATCCTTTGGAATAGCCAGTTATTTTTTGTGGAGAAAGCACTGGTACTCAAACAGCTGCTGAGGAGACCACAGGGAGGATCCACTCAGCTGGCACATGTTTCAAGACAAAACTTTGATAGGGTGGACTGGTTTCACAGAATCCCAGAATTTTTAGGGTTGGAAGGGACATCTGGAATCACCTTGTCCAACCTCCCTGCCAAAGCAGGGTCACCCGGAGCAGGTGACACAGGAACATGTCCTGCGTTTGGAACGTCTCCAAAGAGGGAGACTCCATGACCTCCGTGGGCAGCCTGTTCCAGTGCTCTGACACCCTCAACGTAAAGAAGTTCTCCGCCGTGCTCAGGTGAAACTTCTTGTGTTTCAGTTTACGGCCATTGCCCCTGTACGGCTCCATTGTCCCCCCGTACAGGTGTGTGAAACAAGCACATTAACTCCCTTCCATGCCCAGCCATCTTTACGGGGGCTGCCGGCAGGATCCCGGTCTCCGCAGGGCCGCTGAGGGCAGGGGGCCGGGGGCCCCAGCGCTGCCCTTGCCCGGGGGAGCCGCTTCCCCGCGGTCCCGGCGGGGCGCGCAGGGCGGAGCGGGCGGCGGGGAGCGCTCCCCCCTCACGGCTGCCGGGCGGGCCGGGGCGGGGCCGGGGGCGGGCGGCGCTGGTCGCTGTCCTGGGTGTTGAATCTGCTGCGGCTGCCGGAGCCGGGGAGCGGCCGCGAGTGGCACAGGGCGGGCGGGCGGCATGGAGTAAGGGCTGGCGGCGGCGGGCAGGGGAACGGGGCATGCGATGGGCCAGGCATGATGGACACGCTCGGCTCCGTCCTTCCGCTGCTGCTGCTGCTGCTGCTGCCGCCGCCGCCGCTGCCGCAGGTGCTCGCCGCCGCCCCGCGTATCCAGCCGCCCTCCGCGGGGGCCGCCGCCGAGGCGCGGATCGGTGAGTGGGGCGAGGGGAGGGGGCGCGGGGCTGGCGGGGAGCGCACCCCGTGCTGCTGCCCGGGAGCTTCCCCGCAGGCAGCTCGGCAGGGCCCCGGCGGCCGCGCCCGCACGGCGGACGCTGAGGGGCCCGTCCGCCCGTCCGTCTCCACCGTCCCCGGAGAAGCGGCCCCGTCCGCTCGTCCCTCACCGCCGGCTCCGGAGCTCCGTCCTCTGGTACCTCACCGCCGGCTCCGGATAAGCAGCCCCGTCTGCCGGTGTCTCCGCACCGCCTCCCGCTGCCCGTCCCCGTCCCCGTCCCCTGGTCTGTCACGACCCGCTCCCGGCCCCTCGCACCTCCTGCCCCGCCGCTCCGCCCCGGCCCCTGCCCCAGCGGCGTGTCCCGTCTCGGGGGACACCTCTCTCTGCGGGGCCGCTCTCACCCTCTGTCCCCGCAAGCCGAAAACTTCCGCCAGGGCTCACGAGGCCCCGAAAATCGAGGTGCTCCAGAAAATGCCCCCGAAAATGCTTCCAACCTCCACATATTTAACCCTTCTCCCGGTTTGCTGGATTCAGCCCTTCCATTTGAAGGAGACAGGAAATCTCCGGGCCACAATCCCCCAGATGCAGCCTCTGGTGGAGTCCCCCCTCCAACTCGTGCTGCTGGAGGTGGAAGTCAGCACTGGCTCCGGGTTAAGGCTCTTTCAGAGCTGTCAGAAAATCCCCAGTGCGGACCATTAAAGAGCCACTTTCTATTGAGACATTCTTGACCGACCCCTTCTTCATTTAGAAGGTACCATCTGCACTAAACATCCCCACTTGGGAAGTGACCCACACCGGCATGAAGGGATCCTGAAAACAAACTCTGTCTGTTTCAAATCGATGCAATTCTCCTGTGACACTCTCCCTGGCAGTTCTTTCCTTGCATTGAGACATTCAGCACTGTATGCTCACCTGAACTGTCTATTAATATTAATATCAATATCTATTAATAGAGTCAGTCTCATTTCACTTACAATATCTTCCCAAAGCTCACTTTAAGTCAAGAAGGTCATGAATAGGAGAATTTTGTATTTTTTGCATTTTAATATCTACCTAGGGTGGTTATGGAGATCAGAGTGAAAGCTAAACAAACTATCCCTAAGAAACCTTTTTCTAAGACAAAAAAAATTAAATTTAAGAAACAAAGGAAGCCTTCCAGAGGAATATTGCTGCAGTTTTCCTCATGTACATTCTGTTTATTATGAAGGAATTAAAATCAGCTGACCATGTTTATAATGAGGCTTCAGTCAAGTGGCAATAAAAATGAGCTATTATGCTTGCTATAGTGAATGTAGTGATGCAAGGTTTTAAGGAGAAATGGCTTGGACTGGATTTATCAATCTCTCCTCTCTCCTGGTTGCTATAGATATAGACTGTTTCTCCTAATCTGCTGAAGAGAGAGCTTGCATAAAAATATTGCAAGTAGCAGCTGTAATTTTAACCTCTAATAATGCAATAGCCTGCACTGTGCTTTTGAAGTAGTCCGATTTTGATTCTCTGTCCCTTAACACAAACTGCAAATCAGTTTGGGTCACGGAGTATTTTTTCACTTTGTTGTAGCTGAAACACAAAAACAATGTGTGTGTTTGTTACTTCCTTCCAGCTTCCCTGTGCTCCTGCCTCGGCAAGGATCCCTGCCTGCCAGTTAAGGCTGTCCTTGCATGGAAGGGACTGGGGGAAGAGCAGCCTTGATTTTACACAATGAATCCACTGCTCTGGATCCAACAGCAGCAAAACAAGCTGAGCCTCCCTACTTCTTGCTGGGATAGGGACCTCACTGATATGTCAGGGATCTCTGTGAAAGATGGGAAGGGATTGATTGTGTTTGACAAGATGCAGGAAAATCTTTGCATTGCTTGAAGTGAAACAGTTTTAGCTGTCTCTTCCATTAGAGTTCCTTTATTTCTTTTATTGACCAGTGTTTCAGATCTCAATCTTACAAAAACAATGTGTGTTTGTTACTTCCTTCCAGCTTCCCTGTGCTCCTGCCTCGGCAAGGATCCCTGCCTGCCAGTTAAGGCTGTCCTTGCATGGAAGGGACTGGGGGAAGAGCAGCCTTGATTTTACACAGTGAATCCACTGCTCCGGAGGTATAATTTGGAGGCATTTCAACAGCAGGAAAACAAGCTGAGCCTCCCTACTTCTTGCTGGGATAGGGACCTCACTGATATGTCAGGGATCTCTGTGAAAGATGGGAAGGGATTGATTGTGTTTGACAAGATGCAGGAAAATCTTTGCATTGCTTGAAGTGAAACAGTTTTAGCTGTCTCTTCCATTAGAGTTCCTTTATTTCTTTTATTGACCAGTGTTTCAGATCTCATTAATCTTGAGTTCAGACTATTTATTATTGTAGATTCTGTTCAATTTTGGAGTACAATTTTTAGACACAATCAGGGGACATAACTGTAATTGTACGTGGTATCTGAGTTTTGGGATTATTTGTAGTTATATGTAAAAGATACTAATTTGGTTTCTTCTTGTGCTCAGTCCCATCTTCTTTAATTGAAAATTGAAGACAGACAGATGTGTTATGGGACCTCTAGAATGTGTGCTGAAAACTGCTTTAAAAGCAAAGTAATTATAGAAACATATTTTTATTGGGGTTTTTACCCCATTATTTCAGGAACTCTTCCTATAAGTTTTTTCAGAAGCAGAAGTTCATGACCTTTACCATTTCATGGAATGAATTAATCCAATTTCATTCTTTTCCTCTTTTTTATGGTCAACTTTGGCATGCACTTTCCAGTATAATGAGCATCTTTAAATGTTGACCTTTATTTTGTAACATAATTACAAACTTGTTTAAGAAATTAGAAGATTAAAAGTTGGAGTTAACTGAGATACATGATTTGGACTCATGCTTCTTCTGCCTCAATAATTCATGAAGCTTTGTAAATTCTTCCTGTGGTGAGATGTTTTGTTAAGGTGCAATTACCAACAGAAGCACATATTCTTTCATTTCTTGACATTTGCCTTTCATCATTCATCATTCTGTGATGATTTATAGTAACATTTTAAATGTGAAAAAATAAGGAAAAGTAAAGTCTTTTCCCTCTCTCTTTTTCTTCCCTAGGTCTAGGCCAGGAGAGAGATTTTTCTCTTTTTCACAGAAAAAAAATCAACAGAGTACATAGTAGTATTCATTAGTCTTTAATGAAACACTGGGCTTGAGAGTTTAATATTCTAAAGAAATCTTTATTAATTTATAAGATACAGTTCATTTAAGATTATGGAACTTCTTTTTAAGTGTTTTACAAAGTAATCATCTGTGGAAAAATACTTCCTGATCATGTTTGCTCAATTCCAAAGGCTTGGGTTGTTCCATTCTTGTGTTGGTCATAACACTAAGCAGTACCTTCAATGAAAGCTACAGCTCCTACTACTGAAATATTTTCATTGTACAGCCTTTTAAGCAGACTAATTGATTCAGAAAGTTGCAGTGGTACTTTATTTTCATTTTAGGTAGGCTGGGTGAGATAGAGAACTCGATAACAAAGTAAGCTGTGAGCATTCTCAGTCACATTCTTTCATTAGTACTGAAACATTGGTACTTTATAGCAGAAGTTGTCCTCATATGTTTCAGAAAAGAGTAAATGTGCTTGCTGCAGTACCTTCACATTGACCTCTGATGTGTAAAATGATGCTTATAACCTTCAGCAAATATAATTTTGCAATATAATTTGATCTTTTGTGCTGTGTGCAATCCCATTTTTCAGTATGCATTTTCCTCTTAAATGAGTACATTGATAGGCCGTGGAAATTTCTGGAAACATTGGTTCCACGCTCTACGTAAATTTGTTCCATACACTGTAAAAGTTCCTTCAGCGTTGTATTGAAGTAATCACTGGCAGAATTTTTGTCTGTCAAATGAGTGTAAATTTACTTTTTAACTTGCTAACAAAAAGACAAGTCACATTTCAGCGTATAAATATGAAATATACTCCTAAACCTTTAGCTGTGAGTTCCTGACACATACAGTGAGCAAAGACAGTGTCTTACATTTCTCTAGGATTTAAATGTAATTGAGGATAGAAACTTTACTCAAAGACATAAAAAATGTTGCATGTTAAGTTTAGTACCTTCAAAAAGTACTGTGTGCATATTTAACCACTGAAAAAAATATTTTAGAGGTGGGTTAGGAGATGCAAATGGCTAAAGTTGATCAGAATTAAGAAACAGCAACAGCAGGCAGTTACTATTGGTGAAAAACATTTATCCAGTGTTGATTCTTAAACTGTAAGAGTTAAATAAAGAGTAGGACAGGTGAAAAAATTATTTATTTAGATTTTCTGCATTTCACTCAGTGTTTTGAACACTATCCAAAGGAGGAAGCGACAGAGAGCTTTTGGCTATGGATGTCCCATGGGGAATGGCATAGAAGTGTATCTTGATTTAGTCCTTGTTGGATGGATGTCACCTTAACAAAACTTAACATAGCTGTTGTTTTCAGCCATCATTGGTAACTGCTATGAAGATCCATGAGGGCAGAAGTTTTGCTTCTTGCAGTAATTGAGCTGAAGCTCACTGAAGTCAATGTCAACCTTCCCACTGACTTCAGTAGCATTTGGACCAAAGTTCTGCTTTGAGGCTTGTAGCAGACTGGCTGAGAAAGTAGGAGAATTAGAGTTTTACCATCTGTTCAGTACAAAAAAATTGCCTGACTTTCCAGTTGCATTAATTTCGAACTTCTCATAGGCACTCTGGTTTTTAATAATGTCTTTATTTGATGTAATTATTGACGGTGGAGTGTAATTTATGATATAATAGTAGAAAATAAAAATAACAGCAAAATAATTTAATTAAGACAAGGCTGTGTGCTCAGAATGTGAAGGATTCAGTGTAGGAAACTGGATTCTTCCCTTCATCAAAAATAGTTTTTCATATCCTAGAAATGTTTCTTAAGTTATCAGTTACATTAAAAAGCAGCTTTAAGGTAGATTGATATCAAAGCACGTCTATCTGTCAGTTCCACTGAATTAC